AAATAAAATTAGTTTAGCTAATATTGTAATTAAACTGTAACAACGGTTAAATAAACCAAAATCGCGTTTTAGAAATCACGATTTGTATAGATGTATCCCCCATAGAAGTGCGACTAGAACGATTTCCACTCTCTTCCCCTGCTTTTTACTTTGATGGTTTACGACACAAACAATTTAAATCGATCATGTACGTATTATTCCTTTTCTAAATCAAATAGGTTTAGCTAATTTCACAACTAAACTTTACGGTTAAATAAATCGTAATACGTTTTAGGAATGGCGATTAGCCTAACCAAAAGATATTATTTTTGTCATCTCATCTTCTTCTTCTCCAACTGGTCATTTGACGAGACTTATCCAAGGAGAAAGGAAGAAGAAGGAAAGGAGGGGCGAAGAAGAAACGACTAGAACCGAGAGATCCTTACCTCAGTAAACTTTTTTTGGGAGAGAGTTCTAACTCCACTCTTCTTAAAAGGTCATTCTATTCGTCTCACATTGATTCTAAATGGCATATATATGGTGCTCATGATCCTCGTACATGGCACTAAACTAAACCCACTTAATTATTAATTTAACAAAAATTTGAAACTTTATGAAATCAATAAAATATTAGTGATAATTAAGATTATTAGTAGTTGTTATAACTATTAAAAATTGTGTTCGATCTAAAAAATGTGCATTACAATAATACAACTTTTAAAAACAAAAATACAATAAAAAGACCCAACTCTCCGAATCGTTTTTAGAATTTTAAAAATAAAGGATTGCGATAAATATTTAATATACATAACTTTCCAAATAGAACGATAAATTTAACAAACATATACTCATTTTACGTATCATATTACTTGAAGTTTTAGAGAAGTGTTTTTGTATCATACTAGTAAATATTTTCATTTTTCAAGGTAAAAAAATAATACTTTTTTATCAGTTGTGATCATTTGAATTATGCAGTATCGTTTGTGATTGGTTGACCTAGTTTTATTTAAACAATAAATAAATGTTTAATTTGAAAATGCAAAAAAAAATAATAATATTAATGTTGTTTCTTAATTTATTCTTAAACATCAAGTAATATGATAGAGAATATTCAAATCATTCTCTTCTTACCTCACTGAAATTCATGTTCTTTTGTCGGGCAAATCAAACTAATTCATATTAACTACACAAGATATTCAAAGAGTATAAAAGAACATCATGGTCGAATCAATCTAGTAAAGTCTTCCAATACACTTGTGAAAATGTTGAGAACATATATACTGAATATACGTAACATTGCAAGAGATCGAAAATATATTGGCTTACCCGTTGGGCAGAAAAAGATGTTGAATATAACGATTGTTCATATAAAGTTGTTATACCAAACAAATAAAAAAAAATTTAGCATTTGCGATGCATGTGTATTCCATAAAAAAAAAAACCAGTTACAAAAAATATGTAAATATATTATTAAAAGCAATGTCACAATTTTAGTGGGGATCGACAAAGAACAATCGTAAAATGAGGAGAATTTTTTGGAAAGAGATGGTAATATGTACCTAAAAAGTGGCGTTTTAGGATTTTGGTTAAGCGAGCTCTTATAGTTAATCAATTTACAAAACCAGTCAAAGATCAAAGAGCCTTGTTTATGAAGTTTTACGTGGAAGATATTTTTCCAGTGTAAACTTAATACGCAAGTGCGAATTCTTATTCTATTTAAAACGGTTACTGGTTAATCACAAACCATTAAGTCAAAGAAGGAGATTTTGAAGAGAATAGAGATTCGATCAAGTATAGATCGATTGAAAGATAGAAAAGATCGATAACCAGAAAACCTAATCTTAGCTTTAATGCTCTGATACCATGTCAAGAAACCTTTGAAGTGGTAAAGGGTTTTCTTATTCATCAAGTTTGAGGTCAAAGAGCTTATATAGAGATTACAACGGAAACGCATATTAAGCTAGGTATAAACTCGAAGTTGGGCTATCATAGGGCCCAATATTTAGTGTTTCTTGAAGTGGAACTTGATGTATAGATTCAAAAAAGCGTAATACTTCGCTATCAAATTACCATTACTGGTACCCATTTGTCATTCACATATTTGTGTCCTTATATTGCCGAAAAATGATTTCCATGATGCTCAAGCCGGATAACAGGTGCCAAAGAAACCAGCACCAAACAAGACGACGAAGCAAGCCACTAAAATCAAAACAAACAGAAGCTTCCACTTGTGGACACAAAGTTAGTCTCATTTTCAAGCCTTTTATTTCGTTTTAGTTTTGTTTATCGGATTTATCCGAATTTTTTTTAAATTATTGAGTCACACCGTACCAGAACTGGTGTAGCGAAAAGGCAAACAAGGAGAATAGAGGAAGAGTCCAACTGCAAAGGTGAGTGAACAAAGAATAAGCCTTTTTCTGTCCCAAAACTCATTTCAACTTCTTCCATTTGTTTCATTACCAATTAAACTTTAGTAAATAAAATGGTGGGAGTCTCTTTGTTTTCTGTTGATGACATGATGGATCTAGCTTAATAACAATTTTGGCTCAGCGCCTGAAAATTAAAGCAGTAACATTTTAATAAAAAACACATCCTCGGTACAACAACACAGAATGAGATATTAGCATGTCTTTGAAACCATTTGTAGTTAGTATTATTTTTGTTTGGACTTTGGTTTATTTTCTATTTCGAATGCATATTTACTTAAATGCAAGCTGAATATAGCACAAGTTGAATTTCTACAGCAATTGATTATTAGATTATCTTAAACTAGCCTATGACACCAGAATATGTGTAACGCCCCAACCGCCGTCGGGTTATCGGTATACAGGGAAAATCCTCATCCCCTCGAGATAAATCCTCATCTCTCAATAACATACAGGAGAAATCCTTATCTCTTCAGGAGAAATCCTCGTGTTGTTTATT